TCGTCCAGTGCAGGGTTTATAGCTATGGGCCCCCATGCAATTTTTATAGGGGTTCTAGGGGTCTAAACTCAACTACTCTTGTTATGGTGGTGGAGGCAGAATCCAGGGTTTTCACATATGCTAAGCAAGGAATGTATCACTGTGTTGTACTCCTAAATGAATTCTTGTATTCTGAGAAAAAAAATCTTTCAAAATTCAGAAAATTAAATTCTGACCGTGGAGCAGACTGGTACAGTGGTATCCCAAATTAGATATTTGTACTGCAGGGATTGTTTCAGATGGGTCTTGAGGTTGTGTGTGAAAATACGAGAATGCCTGCTTATATTATTTTTATAAAAATGAGGATTCCAGTATTTATGATACACGATTACAAAAGTAATGTGCATAATATCCACACACGTGCACATATCTTCAAACAGAGCTACGACTATTTGCTATGTAAGTTGAGAGAAGGCCACATGGAATATCATATAATATGGATGAGGGAGTGTCTTTGAAGAGATGTGTGGTAGAATGGGCACACTCACAGTATTTTACTTTCAGCATACTGCAATGTCTTCCCATTTGCATAATCCTGGTTAGATTTCACAGGGACTGTATTTTGTTTGAATTATATTAACCCTCACACAATTGTTCCAAAAAATACCTGCAAAAAGTATTGGCAGTCTTATTAATAAAGTAATCCTGAGTTTCCTTATTAGGGAATGTCTCATGCTTGGCTATATATTTTTTTAAATGTGCTTTGTTTTCCTCATCTAATAGTAGGACAAATTAATCCTGTTTTAGCTAATCCAATGATATTTTAAGACTCACATTAAATGTAAATATAATGACAAGTTGTAAAGCCATATATATTTCTGTCACATTAACATTATTTTCCAAATATAAGGCATTTTGGAAGCTTATCATTAAAAACTGAGAAAAGAAACTGACAGGAGAAAAGTGGTAAGCATTTCCTAGATATTAAGAAAAGTGAGTTTTGGCATTTTTGGCCTGTAGAATGCTGACATTTTCCTCCAATTGTTCCAGAAAGTAAATGATTTCAAAGAATGTGCTGTTACATGGTTTTTGAAAAGGGGGGAGAGAGAGAGGGATTTAGAAATTTCTAAATATCTCTTTTAGTCCAAGCGGTGTCAGCATCCTTTTTGTTCCTGTTTCAGTCAATTCTACTTAAAAGGAACTCACTTGAGTTCCTTGGTCATGCGAAGCACTTACACCTCCCTTGTTTCTGTGGGGTTCATTTCTGAAGAGGCTATGTCTTCACTCAGAAGAGCATGGTCTCCTGTTGCATTTCCATTTTAGGTAAAGTAACCATACACCTTTTTTTTTTTTTTTTTTTTT